GATCTGTGTCAAGAAGGAGAAGCCGAGTCTTGAAGGGCCCGCTTGGTATTTCAACGGAAATAATAGCGTTCAGACACGAGACTTCTGATCTGGGTCTGGGTGTAATAAAAATCCCGAGATCTCAGAATCTAAGCCGAGCGCGAGGAAGTTTCGTTCTGGGTGGAAAATTTTCATCAGTTGAAGAAGACACGATTCCTTTTCTTTTTCTTTTTTCTTCTTCTTATTTTTCGAGCGTAGAAAACAGGGAGACTGTAAACTGCTGCCTTGAACCCTTTAAAATCTGCCAGAGATTTGCCTCCTCTGTGTCCAAAACGTAAATATTAATTACATACTTAATTAATTAAAGGTGCATACGAACTGATTAACTACAGATACTTAAAATAAAGTTTATAATGTATGGACAAAAACATTTATAATATATGTATAATCTTCTGAATCTGTAACGTTTAATCTGATTTTGGAAAGCCATATGAAAAGTTGAGACTTTAGAATAGATTTTTTTAGTTATTATTTATTTCAAGATTCTACATTATAATTATATAATCATCATCGATAGGGGTAACCAAACTAAGGATCTGCACAAGCCATCGTAGAATAAATTAGAGATTAGATTGTTAGTTGAAAGTTGAAACCTGGAAATGTTGTATAACTTATTTTTTAATTAAAAAAAATTATATTTATTTAACTTAATTGAAATGTGAGACATGTAATGAACCGCGATAACACACACGAAAACGGAAAATTACTTGTTTTTTTTTTTTTAAATCTTCGTTAGGTACTTTGCTTCTTCGAGTCCGTAAGGTCGAAGTCAAATCAAAGAACCTTTCAACTCCACTTGTTCGTGAGAAGGAAGACTATGTATGTACGTACCAAAATGGAATTTGCTACATTAATAATACAGTTGAATTTTGCAATAACTTCCTAATGGAATCCGGAATTGGATTTTATATTTATCTGTTTTCTTTTTTTTAAAATTTTTTTCCGGAAATAAGGAATTTGAATTTCACATTATCAAAAGGATTGGTGCCTTTATTTGCACGAAATGAGGATTGGAATTCACCAATGTTCCAAATCAGATTGCATCCGGCAGGAAATAAAAATTTAAATAATCTCCATGGTCTTATGGTTTTAATCTAATAATTGAATCGTGAGTGGAAGCTGCGCAATAAAATGATAGGTGGGCCCACCCTAAACATGATATGTTACAACGTGCTGGGGATAAATAAATTATTATCTCGCCTTATAACATATAATATCCCAATTTATAGTATATATTTATTGTAATCGTATGTTTTTCTATTTAAAACGGTCCATTTGGAGGATATCCGGTTCAATCTAAAACCCAAGATTATATGGGCCGAATGAATGTCAGCCCATTAGATGAGGGAGTTATTATTTTTTTTACAAAAAATGCTATCTTTATCATTTATTAAATACCCGCGCGATGCACAATATTATTTTTTATAGGGAGAATCACCGTAAAATACATGTATTTTTCTCTGCTTTCAATTTAATATCCGTACTTTTTTAATTACTGAATAATACCTGTACAATTGGTTTTTCTCCAAATAAATCCTATACTTTTAAATTATTGGCCAAAAAATACCTACCGTCAAATAACCGCCACGTAGACAAACGGAAATCCTACGTGGCGGTGAAATTCTCAACTTCTCTCCTAATCATCACGCCATGTCATCGCCACGTCAGAAAATAAATAAAAAATAAATAAAAAATAATATGCATATATGAAAAATCGTAAATTATGACGAATTTTGATCGATAGATTATGAATACAAATATTTTAAACAATAAATATGAAATTGAAGTCGAAATTTGCAAACTTTTATAATTATAATTTATAAGATACAAATGAGTAGAAATATACTAAAGAGATTAACATACATTTATTTATATATAATTATTTATTGTCTAGAATATATCTATATTCTTCTTCTAATGACTTCACATATTGTCTACGTGGCGGCGAAATTCTCAACCAATTTAAATGTAACTTATATAACGAAAATAAAAATATACACAATATTATAAGGCATGTTAATGATCAATGCATATTACTTTGAAATTAAAAATAATGCAAGGAACCAAAAGAGAAATTAATAACCTGAGAGATGACACCAAGAACACCGAGCGAAACCATGACAGCGTTAAAGTCCATCGGAGGATAGTAGTTCTCATAATTAAGAACCCTAACCTTTACGAACCCTTCACCAACCGTGCCAGGGCTAATCAGCCGAATCTCGGTCACGTAATCGTGGATCCCACTGCCATTCACTCGCAACGTGCTTCCGTGGGACCCGGTTGCTAACAGACCGCCGACCGTCGACCCCCACCAGTACGGGCCGCATGGTAATGCCATTCCCACCGCGGCAGCGTCCCGTATGAACTGTCGCAGAGAAAGACCGCTCTCCGCCGTCATTGTCAAGGCGTTTGGGTCCACACTCACTGTACGGTTCAGGAACTTGGTGCTTATGAGGAGGCCGTCTTCCCCGTCGGTGCACGCCAGCTTCGGGATGCTGTGTCCGAAGCGTGTGACAACACGCATCTTCTGACGGATTCTTGTAGCTTCGGCTACGGCCGTTACTAGCTCAACCTCGTTTGTCGGATACACCACCTTGGCGGCTCGACACACGGATCGGTCGGGGAACGTGCCGTACGCGTTCGTAACCGTGCAGTTGGTGTTGGCGGAGACACACGTGAAGGGTTCCTCCGGAGGAGTTGAACCGACGGCGGACAAGAGCAACTGTAAGATGAGAAGGTAATAAGATGAAACTAGCTACGTAAATCCTACGTGTCGGAATACATGCATGAATAACTCGGCTTCTTTGGATACGTAATTCCCGATAAACTGTCTAATTTTCTTAGAGAAGAAGATGTTTAAAACCCTCAAATTCTACAAACTCTTTATTCTCATTTGTAAACAAATCATTTCAAGTATCCCTATATGTAGTTCCCAGAGCTACGTAAATCCTACGTGTCGGAATACATGCATGAATAACCCGGTTTCTTTGGATACGTAATTCCCGATAAGCTGTCTAATTTTCTTAGAGAAGAATATGTTTAAAACCCTCAAATTCTACAAACCCTTTATTCCCATTTGTAAACAAATCATTTCAAGTATCATTAGCCTATATGTAGTTCCCAGAGCTACGTAAATCCTACGTGTCGGAATACATGCATGAATAACCCGGTTTTCTTGGATACGTAATTCCCGATAAGCTGTCTAATTTTCTTAGAGAAGAATATGTTTAAAACCCTCAAATTCTACATATTCATATATATTCAATAATACATATGCATATATATACATATATACGCATCAATAATATGCATATATGAAAAATCGTAAATTATGACGAATTTTGATCGATAGATTATGAATACAAATATTTTAAACAATAAATATGAAATTGAAGTCGAAATTTGCAAACTTTTATAATTATAATTTATAAGATACAAATGAGTAGAAATATACTAAAGAGATTAACATACATTTATTTATATATAATTATTTATTGTCTAGAATATATCTATATTGATCGTCCATTGATTAAAATTATAATTTACGATTTTTGTACATTTTTTGTGTAATAATAAGACAAAAATCGTTATGTTTTTCTTTTACATGTTCGGATGACCTTTCTATAAAAAAACTATATTTTTTTGTCTTTTTTTAATATAACCTTTTTCCTTTTTAATAAAAATTTATTGATCTTAATTATTGAAATAAATGTAGTTTAGTCAATTTATATTTTAGTTTTCTACGCATCAATAATATACATATGTAGAAAATCATAAATTATGATGAATTTTGATGAATAGATTATTATTATAAACATTTTAAACAATAAATATGAGTTTGAAGTCAAAATTTACAATTTTTTTTTAAATTGATAAAATACAAATGAGTGAAAATATACTAAAAAGATTAACATACATTTATTTATACATAATTATTTATTGTTAATATCCATTGATCAAAATTATAATTTACGATTTGTGTATATTGTTTCTGCAATAATTAGATAAAAATTATTGTGTTTTTTCTTTAACATGTTCGCATGACCCCTCTACGAGTTCGGATCACAAATCGATCCTATATCTCGGTCAAGTGACTTGGCAATTCATTAGAAATGATCGAGGAATAAGTATAGATTTTTCCGAGAAAAGTTCTCACCCAAAACCCAGAATGAAAAAGGAATGACGGTAAATAGTGTGTGAGACTCATGTTGAGTCCAATACAGGTGTTTTAACGGAAAAATAACAACATGCCCTTTACAATTACGCTTCTACCCTTACAAACCTTTTAACCCAACTAGAGTTTTTCATTTCAGATAAGATATAATTTCCTCAAAGGAGATATTTATCAATTTTGGTGGTTTTCACGGGGCATTATATGTAGTTTAAGTGGGCTTATATGTCTCATGGTGTAAGCTTAATCAAGCTCAAATGGGCCTATGGTGCGTGCTTCAATTTAGTCCAATTATATGAGCTGAAATGGGTCTTTCCGTTCATTATTTCCACGTCAGCAGGTGTGCGAAGCAATAAAACGTAGGGGTGATTTATTTGTGTTTCGAGGCTGTTATATTTCAGTTCGATTATTTCGATTTTAAAAATTATAACCATATACTTTTATATCAAATTCGATTCAATCGGATTCTATTTCAATTCGTTCGATTCAGGTTTAATTTTTATTGATAAAATATTCCTTTTTTCAAGGAAATTTAATGATTTTAATAATATTTTTAATATTTTATTTGATTCGGTTTAATTTAGATTTCGTTTTTTTTTGTTTTAAAGTAATTATAGGCATTTAGTTTTATATCGAATTCAAATAGTTTATTTAATAAACTACGCTGACAAAAATAATAATCTCTTTGTAAACCCTGAAATTTTCTAGTAACGAATATTCAATTTTATGTAGGCCAAGAAATATTGGGTCATTTGATGAACGGAAAAAAAAAGAGAAAAAATATCTAAAAAATTTTGAACTTATAATTTGGTGTAATATTAATTTATGAACTTGTTTAATCTCGAACTTATATTTTTTAACACAATAATTCATGAACTTACACTTTTTAACACAATAATTCCTAAACTTTGTTTTGGTCAATTAGTGATATGGACGATTATGGAACTGTTAAAAAAGTGTAGAAATTAATATGTTCAAAAATGTAAGTTCGGGAATAAATAGACGCATCTACAAGTTTATAAATTAATATTACACCAAACTATGTTCATGAATTTTCAGGTATTTTTTCCCAAAAAGAAAACATTCGGATTCTGCCGTATCCCAATTAAAATTGTTTTCCCAATTAATTCGAATCTCGTGGATTTCAATCCTTATATTTGTTGGTATTCAAATTTACTAATGGTAGATTTATTGACTACTTGAATATATATATATATATCTTTCTAAAACCGTTGCATTTTCTATTAGGGCCAGAGCTAAAATATGTATATACAAACACACACAGGGGAGGGAGAGAAAATCAAAACAAAATGGCAAAGGAAGCGATTAGTTTGATAGTGATATCAATGTTGGTGGGGTGGAGGTCTGTATCGGGAGGGAATCTACAACAATTGGGGAAGTGGACGATTGCATCGAGGCATCCGCCGCCAAGTGCAGCCCGTCTTCCCTCCCTCCCCCCTTTGCTGCGAGGTCGTCGCACTCGTGCCGAATAAATGCACGTGCGCTGCTGTCACCAAGGAAATCGAGGGCGTTTTGGATATGTCCATGTTTACCCGTCTTCTTTCCTATTGCGGCAAGCCTTTCGATCCTGGCTACCAATGCGGATGTAAGCGTTTCTTAAACCGTATTCCAATTTCGACCGGTTATTGATTTTTTTTTTTGTGTGATTCTGAGTGGATTTTAATCTACTCGCATTTGTTTGTTTCAGCTTACCAAGCTCTTGATGCATGAAGACGCTCCTTTGTTTGTTTTATATTCGTTCGCACTTCTCGGTTTTATGTAGTTAGATCGAAAGTGTGATGAATTTTTTCAAGTTATAAGAAAAATCTATGAATTCGTGAATAACCATTGTTTTTATTTTTTGATGAAATCTATTCCATAAGCTATTTTGATGAAAAAGGATGATAATACGAAGGAAAAAATATCTGAAAATTCTTGAACGTATAATTTGGTGTAACATTAATTTTTGAATTTGTAGGTGTGTCTATTTATTTCCGAACATGTATTTTATAATACAGTAATTCATAAACTTTGTTTTGATCAATTAATGGTATGGATGGTTATAGAACTGTTAAACAAATTTAGAAATTACTATATTAAAAAATAAAAGTTCGAGAATAAATAGAGACACCTATAGCTTCATGGATTAATATTACACCAAATTATAACTTTAAAAAATTTTAGATATTTTTTACTAATATGAATATAAGAAATGGGTTTGTCAAATCATGCACCAATTAATAGAAAATGGGTTATTATGGTTATATTTTATTATTTAAAAATGGTATTGAAAAAAATAGCACCTTGGGATATTCAACATGTAGCTTTTGGTCACAGCCACAAGCCCTAAGTAATAAAATATGATTTTTTTCGGTTACATTATTTGAAAAGAAATAAGGGAGAGAGAATCGGTGCAAATGCAATTGATTAAAAAACAGACACCACTTTTGATTATAGTTTTTGTTTTCGGGTAACTAAATATTTTCACACTAATTTCGGGATCAACCATTTAATTAGAATATATATTTTCCTAAATTTAAAATTCGAAATTGAAAAAGATAGATGTTTTATACCCATTTCATCGGTGGAACCGACAACATTTTTATGTAAAATTATTTTGTATTATAATTTTTTTTCTGTCCTATATTTATAGGACAATTATATAATTATGTAGATTTGAAAATATGAGGAAAATAGACCAAAAAAAAAAAGTGTTTCTAGAAGCCGTGGATCATAAGAGAGGGCGGCCCACCCGTTTCTTTTACCAGGGGACAGACGTTAGTCTCTTTATTTGTGAATTCTCAGCCTCATCGTCTTCTAGAAGTTTTTTTTTTTAGTTTCGTTATTTGTTGGCGTTAATCTTTTATCTTTAATTATATAATAATTTCTAATAAAAACCACAAACCCTAATTTATGCATGACACCGTGTACCAAATTATATATAAAAAAAATACATAGTCAAACTTGACGATCTACAAAACGGGTCAAATCAGTTTTCCCGAAAAATTTGTAAGTAATCCAAATCTAAGAATGTTAAAACCATGTTTTTAAAACTTAAATCCTCCATCACTAGAAGTTTAATGCTATTTCATATAAATTATTTGCATTTATATATATATATTTATTTTTTTTCTCTTTGCAAGTCTTTTCAGAGCACGAAAGGGACTTGTCTTCTGGAAGCAATGGGGAGGACCTTTGTGGCTTTTTAGTAATTATTGGGCATACCAAAGGGCATTGGTGTCTTTTAACTTTTGAGTCCCCTCACCAGCCGCATTTTAGTCGGCTTACAAATTTCATATTTGACACTCTTTTATTTGGCGTGACATTCAGTGCATTTAACGTGTTTTTCTTTTGAAATTTGCAAAAAACAAAACAAATTGAATTTCCTAATATAGTAAATAATATATATATTATATACACACACCCCACATCCAATTTTTAATTAATAAAATAGAATATATCTAATTATGAGTGGATATAACTTCCATTTTTAATAAAGTTCAATAAAAAATATAGAACCAAAAATCGATTGAATTCAGTAAACGAACCATATTGTCATTGTTATACTGGATATTTGTATTGCTATGGTGATGAAATTTTATATTTTACAATGTTAATATTAAGTAATCTTAGATATTAGTAAACGGAACTTCAAAAATATAGATATTAGTATGATAATGTATATAAATATAAATATCAGTATACAAAATTCTCACTAAGTTATACCAAACGAAGCGGGAAGCCGAGCCGAGCAAGGGCTTCTAGAAGCAGAAAAGACAACTGGACGCCACGTCAGCTTCCCATCCACATCAGTTTCCGATTGACCAGACGCACATCGCTTTTGTATTTTCCATCTTCTCAAGTTTTATTTTTTATATTTGTATATTGGCCCCTCAATTTGCTGTCCCTGACATTCGGGCCCCTAACTTTGTTTACCACGTGCTCGTAATTTCAATCCAACAATTATAACCATGAAAATATGATCCAAAACTTCTAATGTAACGAAGAAACATGAATAAAAAAAAGGTTTATATGTAAGCCGTGACAAAGACATCTCGTTGTATGTAAGATTAACCTTAAAAGTAAATATTTTTTTTGTCGGAATTAATGATCATTTAAACAATACAATATTAAGAAATAGGAAGATTAATTTCCAACTCATCAATTAGACCAAATTGTTTTATTTTTTTTTTCTTTGTAATTTTGGACCCTTTATATTATATATACACTTTGCCCCCGCTCTTC